AAGCAATTCAAGACAATTTTAAGAGTTTTGTTATATAACATAAGGATATTAAGTTATGCCCAGTATTATGTTAGTGGTCAATCAAATCTGGTATGTAAAAGTAATGACATTAGGGAAGTTATGCTGAGACACAGTACAACAAACATTTATATAAAAAAGTAAACGCCACGTAAGTGAACTGTGGTATTTCCCTTGGTTTGACAACAAATGTTTTATACATTAAATTCATGGTAGTGTTTGCATTTAAATGCTGTGTCATTTATAAAATTAAAAGTGCCATCTCAAATCCACAGAATTCATTCCCAGAATGGTGATGTGACATGACAATGTGCATGAATCTGCCCAAAATGGGGAGACACCTAAAACACTCACTTCCGTAAGAAAAAAAAATGCTACATTTTATGAAAAACACAAAAGAAATTATATCATTTTTGTTTTCACTATAAAACATTCACACTTATTTGTTCATCTGATAGCAATGATCAGACCAGGGAGCTAGGACAAGACCTTTTGCATTAGTGGAACTCCATGAAAGTTTCCACAGACTGTAAGGCAGGGATTGGTGCAAGACAATTAACCAGAGTACAATTACATTAAAAACCTCCCCCAAACTTTCTGTAGCACATTGCATTATGGTAGAATGAGAGGTTGATTACCCATTTTCTACTAGTAGGCCAGCCTGTGGTAGTTTAAAAAAATAAAATAAAATAAAGTAAAATAAACAATAACAAAGCAGGAGCTATTTAGAAAACACAACTCAAAGTAAACTAATTTTGCTGACTTTGATCACAGCCCACAGTGACTGCCTGCCCCACGATGCACATGCATGGAACCCAACATCTCCCCAAGGACAAGGCTTGAGCCAGGCATGTGGGTCCTGGGCAACTGACCATCTTCCCAATCCTGTGTCAGCTCCACCTGACTCAGGCCCCCCACACTTAATGTATCCTCCATAAGCTAAATGCATTCAGAACAAGTCTAAATCCCATTTTTCTTAGTGTTTAGTTTGGAAATGCTTCTAATTTTAATTCTTAAACAATGATTATTTGACTTCTACTGAACACACAGTATTTACTAACACTGCTCATCTCTCTTTCTTCCTCCACCTCCCTCCACGTCCGGCTTCCCCTCCATCACGTCTCTCGTTTCTCATTTCTCCTTTCAATCTTTCTTTTCTGGACTTTCTGCTACTTAATCTGCTTCCCAAGAACAAGTGAATTTGCTAACACGCAACTGGTCAGACTAACCACCAACTGATAATGATTTCCTGGTCTCATTTGCTCCACCCCAACAGAAAAGTGGGCCCCCTTTCTCTGCACTGCAAGAAGCCCAGTTACGCTCGCTTCCCACGAGAGCCATCTTGGTGCTAGTTAACATTAATATAGGGCTGGGATTGTGGCTCAGCAGTAGAGCACCTAAGTTCAGTACTGATTTCCTCCATGGCAAGAACAGCCCAGCTTCATCTAGATCCTGGAGGACCTAAGCAGCCTGGAAAAGAAAGGGAATTAATAAGTCACCTTCCAGTTCATGATACAACTTGATCATTCTTCTTAAACTTACATGTTTTTGAAAAAAATAATAAATTCAACTTTTTAAAAAAATCCTCACATCTGCTCCTCTTCTTTAACAGATGTACCTTCTTACTTCACTGGAACATGGCTGTCACTCTCAGGGCATAAATGCCTGTACCTCTCCTTAGTGGTCATTTTCTCTTCTGTGTGAGCCATGCCATGTTTCACTGTCCTAGAGTGACATTGCTGCATCCAGACTATTGTTCCTCCCACTTTATTTAAAACAATGCAAAACAAAAACAACAATAATGTCAATTACTTGAATCCTGGGAAACATTTGCCATCAGATTCTACTACTCTCCTTCGAATGCATCTATCTGTTGTTCTGCAATGGTTCGAATGTATTCTCCAGGAGTTCATGTGTTGGAGACCTTGTCTCTGAATTCCCATGTTGATGGTATTTGGAAGTAGGTCTCTGAAAGATAATTAGGGTGAGAGAAGGTCATGAGGGTGGGAACCTGGGGACCCCCTGAAAGAATTAGTGGCTCTGTAAGAAGAGGAAGAAAGACTCAAAGTTAGCGCACTTGCTGTGTCCCACCATGCAATGCCCTCCACCATGTTACAATATAGCAACAAGGCCCACACCAGATACAAAGCACGCACCAGAACAATGTTTTGGGATATAAGAACTTTGAGACAAACAAACTCTATTTTTTACAAATTACCCAGACTCTGACAGCTTGTCATAGTAACAGAAAATGGACTAAAGTATGGTAACTCCTTTTCAATCATTGAAGATTTTTATAACCTGTCTTGTTGCCCACGCTGCGTCCAATTTTGCCATTTTTCTTGATAAGTTAACATCTTCTTAAATGATCCATCCACACCCAGGCCTCTTAGTTTCTTGTTCCCTCCCTTCAGTGATCTGGATTTCCCCTCTACCAATCTGGCATATCCACCAGAGACCCAAAACAACGGGTTTTCATAGTCACCCACTCATAATCACAACCTATAATACTCTATCATTACCAACATCTGCACTCTCTCCAAAATTTCAATTTCAAGCTTCCCTCTGCCTGCCTTTTGTCTCTCCCGATTCCTTCCTTTGCATTTGAGCAGATGGTTGGAGAAAGATCCTGCCCTTGTAGCCTGGCCTCATGTTAAATTTATGATAACAAAATTCCAGGCTCAGCATACTGACTACATTCTGCTAGCCATTTTGCCCTCCACTCTTTCTCCCCAAAATTCCAAAACACTCTCCCCGGTTTCACTCTCACCTACAGGCCCTTCTTGCTCCACTGAGGTCCAACTCCATTCTTCTAAGTCTCTGAGTAGCTCCAGCACCACCACTCACTTCATTCTCCATGGAATGCTGCCATTGGCTTCTAGAACACTCTTTTGGTTTTTCTCCTCCTTCAGATCATCCCCCTCCTAGACCCTGGGTTCAACCCCAAGCTGCCTCTGTCTACATTCATTTCCTAGGTATAAATGTAACCAGTCACATAGCTTTATATATTATCTATATGTCAGTGACACCCAATTTTTTAAAAATATTTTAAAATTTCTTGACACATAATGATTGTATACATACACATATATTTTTAGGGTACAATGTGGCATTTCAACATATGTATACATGTAATGATCAGATCAGGGTCATTTATATATCTATTCCCTCAGACATTTATGTTTTTGTGTTGGAAATATTCAAAAATTCTCTCTATTAGCTATTTTGAAACACATAATTATTGTAAACCATAGTTACCTGAATGTGCTATAAAATATTAGAAGTTATTCCTCTTATTTAGCTGCACTCCTCTACTTGTTAACCATCTTCTCTCCATCTTTCCCATCCTCGCAACTTTCCAGCCTCTGGGAACCACTATTCAACTCTCTGCGTCTGGGAGATCAATTATTTTAGTTTCTACATTTATATGAGAACATGCAGTATTTATACCCCAATTAAAATCTCTGGCCTCTAAATAGATATAATTGCCTACTTGAAGGTCTACTTGGCAATTAACATGTCCAAAACATGCTCATTTCAACCTACCCTGAACAAAATATGTTTCTTCCCCATTTTTAAAACATTGTTTTAGTTGATGATCACACAGTATCTTTATTTATTTTTATGTGGTGCTGAGGATCGAACCCAGTGCCTCACACGTGCGAGGCAAGCACCTTACCACTGAGCTACAGCCCCAGCCCTCTCCCACATTTTTACACATCATTGAGTGGAACCACAATTCACCCAGTTGCACAAACCAAAAACCATATATGATCAACTTTGACTCCTTTCTCTCTAATCCTACTTCTGCTCCATCAAAAATCCTCTTCTAGGGGCTGGGGTGGTGGCTCAGTGGTAGAGCGCTTACCTAGCATGTGTGAGGCACTGGGTTTAATTCTCAGCACCACGTAAACAAATTAAATAAACAAAATAAAGCTATAAAAAAATCCTCTCTGCTTAAAAACAAAATCCCTAATCTGATTTTGTCTCACCACCTCCTCCCTGACCATACTGCAGAAGTCACATAGACTTCTGCACTTAGACTTCTGCAGTAGCTTCCTAATTGGTTTTCCTGCCCCTGTTCCTGCTTCTCTGTAAAGCTTCTACTATCATGTGTACCTTTTCAAATAGAAACCAAAATGATGTTTGGAAAACAAGGTGATTAACTTAGACCCCTGCTCCCAACTTTCCAGTAGCCTCCCACCACTTTTAGAATAAAATCCATAAGACATTTTATGACTGGGTGGCTGCCACCTCACCAACCCCACTCTCTACACCACCACCACTACCCAAACACTGCACTGCCCTCATATTAGCATTCTTGCTCTTTTCCCAACCTACAGGTCATATTCCCAAGTCAGGGCCTTTGCTTTTTCTATCCCCTCCAAAGGTCACCTGGCTCCCTCCTTTTCTGCTCCAGTGTTCTCTCTGCAGGAAATGCTTCTCCTGACAGCTTTCTATTCCTTTCTTGGCTTTATTCCTCCACCCCAGTTGTATTTGTTCTTGAATACACCCTGCCTGAGCTGGATTTTAGTTGATTATTAACTTACCAATTAAAACATAAACTTTGTAAGAACAGGGACCCTCTTTATCGCATTATCCCCAATTCCTAGAACAGGGCTTGGCACACAAGATGCCCTTCGGATATAGGAACGAAGTAGAGTGTGTATGTTAGAGGCTCAAAAAAGTGGACAGCCAGTCAATTTCTACGGCCACCTGCCCCTACCCTTTTTAACTCTAAGGAGATAGAGATCCTCTCAAGGTCTCAAGGTTCCCTGTCCCTTTCGTCCTCCCGCCTGATGGGGGAGTCAAGTATATGCAGCGATGAACCAGATGGAGGCCCGGCTAGGCAGACTTCTCTATGGTCTCGTTCCTTGGGTCCCTCCTCCCCCGCACCCAGCTTGCCTCTATGGTTCTTCCTGTCGCTAGTCGGGAGGGGGCGCTGTGCGCAGGCGCGAGGTGACGCTGCGTAGGGGCCGGAAGGAGAGCAGCGGCGGCCTCGGCGGCAGCGACAGAGCTGTCGGCGGCCGCTCGTGGTGACTGAACGTCGCGGTGCGGAGGCCACCTAGTCCGTCTCACGAGCCGGCTGGTTGAGGGGCGAGTAAGTGTCGCCTGCGGGCGCGCGCGGGCCGCTCGGCAGCCCTGTGAGGCGAGCGGTCTCCCAGCCCGGCGCCTCCGCGAAGCCCCGGGTGGGGGCGGGCGCTGAGGGCGCGGGGCCGCCGAGTCCGGGGCGCGGGCTAGGGGCGGGGGGCCTGGCGGCGAGGCTGGGTGGCAGAGCCTCCGCCGCCGCTTGGGGAAGTTCCGTGAGCCTGTCCCTCAGCCTGCTGCGCGGAACGGCCACTCTAAAGAAACCGAGCTTTCTCCGGTGGCCCGTCACGGCCTCTTCCTGGCGCGAGGCCGCCGGGGGAGTGGTGTCCGTGCACCGACTGCGGCCTGGAGAAGCGAAAGGAGAGGGACTGTGACTTTGAACTACAGCCGCGGTGGAGAAGGCTGCCGTTCGTAATCTGGGCTCAAGTTGGCGCCTGGCGCCCACCACGGCGAAGATAGGGCTCCAGTGCAGAGGAGAGCGCCAGCACAGCCAGCCTTCCCGCGGGCCCTGGGCACGTGCCCGGCGGGCAGCGAGGCCTGCGTGGGAGGTGGCTCCTGAGCTTCGTCTGTCCTCGATGCAAATCCAATAACGAGGACACGGTTTTGAGAAAAAGGAAAAAGGCTTATTGCTTTGCTAGCAAAAGGGAAACACAGGGGACGCCTGTCCCAAAGGCTGTGATTTTGCCCATCTGCAGGGGCAAAAACAGGGGCTTTTCAAGAGGTGACTCAAAGGCCACATTCCACGTGTTCTCTGTCTGGAGTTGTAATTCACTTGTTAATTTGGGAGACAGTCATTTCTGAGGTCTTCCGCACCATCCCTAAGGTGTAGATTACTTTATTCCTGTGGTGGGTGTGTGCTCAAGGACAGATAACTGCCTTGGATGGGGAAGAAAGGTGATCCTGTTTCCCCTAAGATCAGGGAGAGGGAGAGGAAGAGAAAGAAACCCGCCCACATTAAAAATAAATTGCATTGGCAGAGCAGCAAGGGCTATATCCCAAGCATAAAATGGACCACTGTTACACATCCACTGATGATCTGAAACCCTGGGCAATCCAGGGTGCCCACCTTCCCTGCATGACTGGGGAATTCTGGCTGCAGGTGAAGGACCTTGTAAATCACACCTGCACTGAGGTAAGTGCCTGGTAGCAGCTGAGCTGGATACATGGATCCTGCAAAGAGAAGATGCTTTACCCAGTAAGCAAAAAAAGACAGAAGCGGAACAGACCTCAAGGGATCAGCAATGCCTTATATTAAGCAGTGGAGTCAGTCAGGAATTGGAGGGACACATTTTCAAGGTAGAAAATGGTGGGAGGATGCAGTAAAGATCAGAGTTTTATAATGTTTTTAGCAAGACCATATTATGGGAGGAGACTAGGGGCTTTTGTTAGTAGTTAGGAGACTAACTACTTTTGTTAGATAGAATATCAATTTGAGGGGTAAGGAACACTAAAGTACAAAGACTGGTCCAATTTCCTGGCAGACAAGGGTAAATGCAGGTCCCACATAGAAAGGAAGTTGTGGGATTGGTAGGGAGCATGGAGGTTGGATTGAGCTGTTGAATATTGTATTTTGTCTTCTTAAAGATGATCAGAATTTGTATTACAAAGTTACAATACATTGGGGGGCAGTTTGAAACAATTGGACCCCATTGAGTTTTGGCCTATTGTTTGAGGAATTCATCCAATGATAACTTAATCCAGACATGTTTATAGGGCTGGCAAAGTACCAAAGGGGACCAGGCTGCAAACAGAGCCAGCAATCTTGGGCTAAGTGTGGGTTGGTGAGATTTAGAAGTTGATCAGTTTAAGTTGATGAATGTGTTAATTTGGGAGTCCAAAGTATATGGCCTCATAAGATCAGGGAGATGCAAGAGAGTTCTGGTAGGATAGAAATCTTTCTGTATTATCTGTGGTATTTGGGTTCTAAGAATGGTTTGTGAGGCCTGATCTTGGACCCCACCATCATCAGACATACTGAGGTGGGTGTGATAAGTCCAGCATACCCATTGCATATAAATCCGGTGTTGTTTCCCTTGCTCTAGCCCATCCATTATCATTTGTTTTCTTGAGAGCAGAGAGTTGGGATGTGTCTGCATGCATAGCAGTTGACATGTTGATAAGTTAGTCAGTGACAGTTTCCGTGTTTCCTTGTTTAGAAATGCAATGGGTGCATGGTGACTCTCCTAGCAGTATACTGATGAGACGAGCCAGGCCTTGGCCATATTGTTTTAGGCATGTAGATTTTCCTGATGTCCAGTATGAGGCTGTTTGTAAAGTCAAAGATGATGTATAGAAATCACAAAGAGAAAAGGGAGATTTGAGTGGGGTCAGATCAAGGAATGTTCCTTGAAGCCAGAGTTCCCAGATGAGGTCAAGCATTTGGAAAGGGCAAAGATGAAGGGGTAGTGAATATGATAAATATAATTTGTCTCTGAGAATTATTTTAAAAATGTGGAAGGATGTCTGAGAAAGTGGCATCCAGGAGAAGAATCAGCTCCTTCCTTGGAAATAATTGGAAGGCGGGACATGTGTAGTCAGGTGGGGCCTATGGAAATAATTGATAAGAGGCATTACCAGGAATGAGCTTTAAGTTGCTCAAGTGTACCCAAGAAGGTTGGCCTTCTAATTTGGCTGCAGTTGGGGTAGTCAGAATAATCCTGAAGGGGCCCTTCCACTTTTCTTGTAAGGGGGCTGTAGGTTGTCAGGAAGAAAGGTATACCAGGTCTCCTATAGAAATAAGAGGAGGGGCTTCTGGAGATTGCAACTGGAGAAGATGGGACAGGGCATATTTCCAGAGGGTGGCCCTGAAATGAGCTAGGAGGGGATTCACAACATTGTAAGAATATCTGGTGATTGAGTTTGGATGGTGGGTGGGACAAGGAGTTCAAATGGGCTAATCATGAGAGGTTTCTTGGGGAGAGCTTAGAGTCTGAGAAGGGCTAAAGGGAGGAGCTTACTCCAATCCAAAAGAATTTCTATAGATAGTTTGATTAAGATTGCCTTTAAGGTCCTATTTGTCCTTTCAACTTTTCCTGAAGACTGCAGATGATAGGGAATGTGGAAGTGTCATTTTCTATGCAAAAATTTAGCTACTTCTTAGGTAATAGAGGAGATGGATTTGGGACTGAAGGGAGGCAGGTAAACCAAAACATGGAATTATTTCTTTGAAAAGTAGGGTTGCAACTATAGAAGCCTTTTTATTGGTAGTTGAAAAGGCCTTGACCCATCCAGTAAAGCTGTGTGCCAAGATTAGGAGATTGGGCTGGGGATGTGGTTCAGGTGGTAGCGCACTCGCCTGGCATGCGCAGGGCACTGGGTTCAATCCTCAACACCACATAAAAATAAAAAAAAGATCATTGTGTCCACCTAAAACTAAAAAATAAATATTAAAAAAAGATTAGGAGATATTTAATTTTTCTTACAGGGGGCATTTAGGCAAAATTAAGTTGCCAGTCCATGGCAGGAAGGGCTCCCCTAACTTGATGTGTGGGAAATGGGGGTGGTCTCACATTGGAATTGGTATTAGCTTTGAGACAAGTGGTACAAGATTGAGAAATTTATTGGAGATACTATAAATCTAAAGAGGATTGGTTTAGCATATCTCTTTTAGAGTAAGGTAAAGGAATATCCTTCAATGCTTGAAGTCTTTCTGGGGTTATGGTACAGGTGGTGGGGGTTAAAAGAATGCCTAAATATTACACTTGAGGGAAGCAGTGGTGGACTTTAGATTGAGAGACCCAGCACCCCAGGAGGCCAGGGAATTGAGAGGAATGGTAGTGTGGTGTTTGGAGGGTTCAATTGAGGGGCTACAGAGCAGGAGTTTGTCTACATACTGTATGAGATGGCTGGAGAATAAATTCAAAGTTGCCAGGTTGCATTGGAGAGCCTGGTGGGGCATCAGTCAAGGTGAACTGCTGAGAGGAATTAGTGTCTGGGTCAGTCCAGGTGAAGGCAAAAAGTGGGCGTGAGACAGGATGGAGGCGAATAGTAAAGAAGGCATCTTTCAGGTCTAGCACTGAAAAATGGGTGGTGGGGGGCAGATATGAGATAGAAGGGTGTAGGGGTTGATTTTTCTGAGGTCCTGTACTAGCCGGAATTGGCCGTTGGGTTTTTTGACTCTGAGCCTGTAGTAAACGGGAGATAATGGGCTTCAAACACATGAGAGATGAGAAAGTTAGAAGACATTGAGAGAAGGTCAAGTAGTGAGGGGTCTTTTAGTTGGATTTGAATAGGGGGTGGCGATTAGCAGTGTTGGGTTGAGAGGTGTTTCAGATGGTGGGGTTGATTCCAGCTAGTAAGGGATGATCACGAGGCTTAGGGGGAACAGCAGACTAGGCTGGARTGTATTTAAAAAATGGTGGTGGATTGTAAATGGGGAATGGAGATGGAAGCCTTCAGTTTATGGAGGAAATCTTGGTCCAGTAGGGGGACAAGGCAATGTGGCATGATGATGAAGGAGTGGGATAGTGTAAGGGATCCAAATGTACAAAAAAGTAAAGACAGTGTCTTTAATGGCTATATAGGAGTTCTGGAGACTCCTATAATGGAGGTAATTGCTTTGAAAGGGTCCATGCCATTTTGTCAGAAGGGAAAGACTCTCCCAAGTGTCGACCACAAAAGAAACCGCTTGGCTGTTTACCATCCCTGTAACCTGGGACTCCTGTGAGGTATCACCCGAGGTGATGGGGCAGTGCAGTCCTGGCCCCCTCATTTCAGTTAATCACTGTAGGGGGCTTGAAAAGCAGGTTGTACCAAGGGGAACTCTTGCTCACATCCTACATGGGCAAGGGAATGGGTACCTGTTGGAGGGGTGGGCTGGGCTGGCTGCAAAATAAAAGGTATGAAAGTAATATATCAGGGCTGGGGTTGTGGCTCAGTGGTAGAGTACTTGCCTAGCATGTGTGAGGCACTGGGTTCGATCCTCAGTACCACATGTAAATAAATGAATAAGAAAAAGGTCCGTCAACATCTAAAAATAAAAAAGAAGAAAGTAATATATCAGAAAATAAAAAT